AAGTCCTCTGAAGTGTTTCGAGCATTGATTTACCGCCGAATTATTGTTCTTATATACCTAGCTTAAAACACTATTTCTAGGCTCCCATTACACAAGTATCACCTAATGTCATTTCAAATATTATTAACAAGTTGAATTAGTTGAGAAACTACATAAGCTGCTGTATTTTGAATCATCAAGACAACTTATTAAAGTAAACAAATACTGTAATTAACGGAGTTGCTACCGCAAGTATTCTAACTTTTAAAGTACACAATAATATCTAAATTGTTTAAAGTCCAACGCCTGAGCAGGGTCATCTAACCTTGATGAACTAACTAATAATTAATTAAACTTTCTTTAATTAAACGTCTGCGAAATGCTCTCCTTAGCTTTTCGCCAAGAGTATATTGAAAGAGTAACTCAGTTTCGACTGTTTTTCATACTCTCTCTCTCTCTCTCGCACAGATTTATAATACTTCTGAATTCAAAAAACGTTTAGTATTACAAATTCAAGAAAATCAGCCACCAAAAATTACATATGCATTTCTCTCGAATTGATTGTTACAAACATTGTAATGAATGTAACGCTTTCAAAGTAAAAATACATCGAAAACTTTTACTTTTGCAATCTTTGAATATCAATTTACGTTCAAATAGACGTCCGAGAGATTTTCTTTATCACTTTCTTGCGTTTCACATTATTTTATACATCTTCAGAACATCTAAAGGATGTCAGAGCTTTAGATTTAGTTAGATTTCCTCTGTTTCAATATTAGTTTTATTTTTTAATATCACTTTTCTTCTCTTCAAAATCACCTAAAAAAAAAAAAAAACTATTTAATGCTTTGTACTCTCTTGTCTTTGCATAACAACATGCCACGAGACTCGTCTACAAAGCAGAATCCTTGGAAATTGTGCGCTTGAATTTTTCAAGAAAAATTTATTAATTTGATGAAATGCAAATAGAAAATAATTTGGGAAAAAAAAATGTATTTTATTTATTTAGGTGTAAATTCGAAACGCTTTTCAAACAAAAATTTATCAATTAAGGTCAATAATTTGCATTCGCGCTGGTCGTCATACGCGAGATCGATAATATATAGGTCTTCGCTATTGTTATTTTTTAATGTGTTTGTTGCGTTGTGAAATGAAAAGGGAGATTATTAGGAAAACTTTCAAAATGAAAACTTCAATATTCTCGACTAATTGACTACCCCACAAAGAATATATATCAGCATCAAATTCTGAATAGTTTCGGGCATCTTTGTTTGTCCGCCTGTATACCATCTGTTGTTCCCTTGACCGCAAAAGTGAAGCGGCGGTGGTAATTGAAAATCTGCGGAATGACACGCTTACAGCACCAGGTAAACTGAGAACATTTCTGTTTTTGAAAAGAAGTGAAAACTTTGTTTTTTTAATTTTTGGTTAATACTCTAACAAACAAATCCACAAAGTTTGAAGGTATACTCTATTGGCGAAGCTATGGTAATTGCACGACATATGGGAAAAATTAACTGCGCCTACCCAATATTACAGTATATCAAAATTTAATTTTTTTCAATGCTCTTGCAGCATGCTTTAAAAGTCGCACACAGTGTATACATTTATGACCAGTGTCAGCTATAGAAAGTGTTCAAGTATGCCCATCTGTGTATCCGCCCTCATATTCATCCGTCTACCCGAATACTGTTTATGGTAAAGCTTCTCCCGTCATAAAAATTAAGAAGTCGCTAACAAATTTGTAAGTGAATTTGAAAATGACCTAAACCGAGCAAAGGTCACTTCTACAACGACCACAAGTCTATGCCTCAAAAACTGGTAAAACTTTTGCTCTCTCTGTCTTTTGCTTGTTATTTGTCAAGTACAACACATATACCATATAAATTTCCGCTTTTATTCTGAAAATAGAAAAAATCAACCGCATCCACTCAGTATTATAGAGCAAGAAAACTTAATTCTTTCCCTTCTTTAGTCCTTTTTATGATAACGAGGTTGGATGCAAAACATTCGGTCAACACCGTATATAATTTTCTTATCTGTTCTAGCCATCTCTTTTAAAATGTCTTTTATAATATTTTTGTGTTAGAGAAAAGAAAAATTTATCAATATAGCACAAGCAAAGAACGCAACAACAACATCTATAGTTATTCCTTTTTTAAGCATTTTCTGCCATTTATTGTATAATAAAAAAACCTATTAACTCACGACTCCTTGTTTCAACTTGGTACCAAAACAAAAAAAGGAAACTGAAAAGAGGAAAGTAATGTTTAACCACGTGACTGACGGTGTCTTTAACCCAAGCGTTAGCAGTAACAAGAGTAAAAACGACGGCAATGGCATGAGATGTTAGTCTCTTCACAAACATGACCACCATAGACCAAAACCACTATGTGGTTAAAATACCAAAACACACACCCACACATACACACACCCTAGAGGCTTATAAGCTTAACAAAACCACACTCTTTGTTTTTTCGAAAGCATATGCATTCGCACTTTTAAAAACTATTGACTACATGCACGTTGAGTCTGATTGCAGCTTTACAATCAAATAACCATGGTTGCGATAGATCGCATAGATGGCGAGAATTTGGGTGGGATGGTTAAAATGAGTGGTCGGGCATAAAATACGGAATTTATATATAGCGAATGTGTGTATGTCACGTAACAACTACTGCACCTTTGACACGTGCTACTCCACCTGGCTCGATGGCTAGCGGTCAAGCTCTCCCGTTTGTATCGCTTCTTGTTAATCTAATTTTATGGTAATGGTGAAACATTCGCCGACAGAATCATAATAAACCGCAGAATCTATGAAGCAAAAAAAAGAAAAATTTTTTTAAATATATATTGCTTCAACAATAACTTTAAAACGTGATCGCGCGAAGATAATATTAAAATAATTTTTTCTGTCAAAAAAATCTTTGACAGATTGGTAACACCGCTCTAGCAGCTTAAGAAATATGTACATTTAATAATTTTTTTTTTTTTTTTTGTATTAAACGAAAGGGAGTTAAACCAAAGACAATATATTCGCACTGATATTTTCTTAGTTAAATTTTCTAAATTTATTGAACTTAATTATATTAGTTTGAGGAAAAAGAAATCCATTATTTTTTCGGTAGATGGCTGCACTGATAGATTTCTCGTAAAGTATCGATCAAACAATTTCATATTTATGCTCGTTGGAAAGGTGACATTTCGCAGTAAAAAAAATTCTTTTGCTGTTTTTTGTTTGGTGCATTCAGTTGTGAGTTACAGCATGTTAAAAATGGAAGTGAACAAAGAGAAACTTCGGTACATTTAACAGTTTTTCTTTGACAAAGGCGAAAATGCAAGCCAGGCGGCTAAAATTGTGAATGGTGTTTATGGTTCCGATATATAATATATATAATAACGCGAGAGGAAAAGAACGTGTTCACAGTTTGAATGATAAAACGGAAAGCATAGAAATACCAACTGTTCGCTTACGCAAATGTTGCAAGAGTTGCCGTAAATGTACTTGTATATGTCGTTTCGAAAAAACCCAAGTCCTTTGGACTTCTATAAAATTATCAAACTCAAATTGGTTACTTACCGCAGACATCTCTTTATATTATTCTTGCCCATTTCATGCACCATTTGAGTTAATAAAAGAAAAAGCTACGGTAGTCGAAAATCGATGAAAACGATGGTTAAATTGAATGAATTTCGTTTCGGCATGTTTCCCCGCTTACCGTACTCTTCACATCTGGCCATCAGGGGTTACTGGCTTTTTACAGACATGAAGAGATGCTCTAGGGAAAGAACTTTGGGGTATGTGAAGATTTGTTGGCCGAAACTGAGGCAATATTAGAGTGAAAAAACAAATCTTTCTACAAAATAGTTTTTAATTAGATACTTTTTTTTGTGTAATCTATGTATAGATTATATATGTGTTTAAGTTTGATGCGTACAAATATTTTATTTATAAGTAAGTGTTGTTGGAGTTTAGACCTAAGTTGCTCGGCTTTATTGCGCCAAGTCTGTCTGCTTCTTTATAAATGCCAGACGAGCTAGGCATGAAGCAGTCCCTAGTAAAATTTATAAGGCGGATGGAACGCAAGTGTGCCATAATTTTTATTTTTCTTTCAGCAAAAAAGAATTATGCTTATCACACTACAATATGCAGATATTATGGTTTGTGATTAATGTGTTTTTTGCGCAGGCATGCAGGCATTAGAGGCGGGTCCTTTGCCCAGTTTAGGTCTGTGTTTCTCTTTTTATTATTTTTGCGAAAGAGAGATACTACAGAGTGAGCAGGCAAACAGACCGATAGAGAGATATGCTTAGATGCATTTCGAAATTGAAGTTGGCAAGGAATTTCTATACTTTGTAGGGTTTTTGAAGGTTGCTTCTGCGAGTTATAAAGGTATTTTGATACCCTGTAATATTGGGCAGGCTTATCCAATTGTGTATAAGTACTACAGCATCGTCCGATGAACATACAACTGCCATATTTATCCGCTATAGTTTATAACTTAGGCGTAGTGGCGTCTGTAAATCTTCCTCCTGAGTGTTGCAACTGTTTTGAAGGAATGACAAACGGTAATGACTATAAAAACAAGTAGCCTTAGCAGCTACGTATTCTGCAATTTAGAAATACATAATTGAAAGGGGATATATGTAAGCGTATATTCAATCAATAAAAAATTGTAAATTAATTCAAGTTAAACATCTAAAATAAGCTATTTAATAAATACGACCTCAACGAAGAAAGGCGCATAAAAGACATAAATTAAACATATATAAAAAAAAGCGTACATATTATAAGTAGAGAAAATCAATAAAGTGCTTCTTAAAGTTTGTTTACCATCAAAAGAAAATGTACGTTTGCGCGTAATTTTCCTTTTATTATATATATACTTGCAACAAAACAGAAAATATTCATTATGTGAGTTTAATGAAAATTTTTATTAACAAATAAGAAAATTTCATTCTTCTTTTTTCATTTGCTTTCGTTTTTTTATTTGCTATTGTTTTTTTCGCTGTGTTTGCAGGAAGCCTATCGCAGATGGGTTTGCAGCACATTGGTCCCGTATTTCGCTGAACCAAGCGATGTTATTATAATTGATGACAACAGCAGCAATTACAACAACAACAACATTATTGATAAAAACAAAAACAACAACTATAATGAAAGCGTAATATCAAAAGTTGCGGCAACGATTGGTACAACACATCATGTAGTCAGTACGACGAGAAATGCTGGTGCCGTCAATACAACTCACAATAGCTTATATTCACTATCACCGCCATTATTGTTACCATCGTCGCCCCTACCGACATCAGAGTTCGCTATAGGCTCCCGTAATGAAACAATATTAAATAATCTTCAGCGGACTGCTGGAAATGCTACAGCCTTACTAACGGCGAATTTAATTGTCTCAAAAAGTGAAAATCACCATCAACTGCGACAAGAGGAACGACAACTCAATAACAGCAGCAATAACAATTATCATAACATTAATGTGAATTTCATTAATAGCGACATGAACATTAATAGCAATAGCAACCATAATAACAACAACATTATTAATTACATAAATTATGAACGCAACAAACGTCATCTCACTAAACCAAAAAAGTCATCCGCTAAAAGTAAGCAACTACACCAGTCGCCGGCGCTAACATATTCTGATGTCATGCAATACAGTACAATACAAAATGATATCAATGTAGACATCAATTGTGCGACGTTAGCAACGACACGAAGACGAAGACGCAATATCATTAACGATACAGACCAGCCCCAGCGACAACGTCAACAGGAGCACGAGCCACTTAAACTACAATCCAATAATTTCATATCGACTGCCATTAATATGAATCCTGTGAGAAGAGAGGGTTCAGTGATATCTCAAAATTTAATGAAAAGGTAATTATAAAATATATTGTGCTCGGATTTCGCCTCATTGAAGCATCGCAACCTTGCTCGCTTAACTTACAAAGGTCGTTTGTGATCCTATTCAGGTATTGATTCGCCAGTAGACTAGCGATAAAGAGATTGATAATCAATTCAAGCGCGCCCAGAGCTCTCTTTCAATATTCACAATTACTTATACGGATCTGCATGCTTCCGACGAGTCTAAAATTTCATTTTCATATAGTAAAACCCTCTTGTCCTTTACTCTGTTTTCTATTCAACCTACAGATCCCAATTTTTAGGATATTTTAATGAGATTTGATACACTGGCATGTTTTGAGCCAGGCACAAACGTTACTGGAAATGGTTCGAATCGGTCCACTTTTTCGACCACTTTCAATATAACGGTTTTTTTTTTTTAAATATCGTTATATGGAAAAGTTTGCAATTTTCAAAGTTTTTGGACAAAACTCGCTAAGTATTATTATTATTCTTATAAATTTAGCCAGAGAGTAAATTCTAAGACTAAAATCTTCGAGTACTAGCATCTTTCGGCTTTGTTAAAAACTCTAGCGCACTTTCGATTTGAACCCACGACCATTGAGTTGCTGGTCGAGACTCGTGCCTACTCGGCCACTCATGCGAAGTAAACTCGATAAGTAATAGTACTTCGACATTGTTAATTACTATGAAAAATTTGATTCATCTGGGATTCTTCGTAGCCCCGTTTCATGTAACTATTCCTACGAAAATCTTTATATAGTAAAAAAATATAATTTTTAATGTTTCATGGTGAAAATTAATTCATAAAAATAAGCTGACAAAGAAGTCACCCCAAGTCTTTTTTTTGGATACCATCGCATAAAAAAATGCTAAAGCTATGTAAACTCTTGTACGCCAAAAACTGCCTAAATGTTAGTGTGTTATGATGAAAATTTTTTCATGACAATAATTTGGCGTGTCTTTTTTCTGGACATCACTCATGAATAGCAAGCCTTTCAGAAAAAGATTTAATCGTTAATATTTTAAGACGAAAATTTGTTTTACCAAAAAAATTAAGAGTAAGAAATTTGGACCACATACTTCTATTTTTTAGATTGTAGGGATCATTACGAAAAGCAAGCTTTTACATGGAGAGAAAGTCTAAATCCCAGTTTTTTTGACGCAAACTGGAAGATAATAAAATTTTTAGGAAGTAAATTAAATTTTCTGAACTTGGACCAGGTCATGTGGCTTTTTCGTCATCCTCTAGTATGCGGGCTTTCATGAAAAGTATGCTTTTGCATGAAAATAATAGTAATTTTTGGTCTATTATCACCAAACGAGTGAAAAGTTGTACTGGGGGAAGTGGCGTATCTAGCGGCCCATTCACCCCGTCTTTAATATTCTTACTTGTTTTCTCTCAAATTTTGAAAAGTTAAGAGGTTCAAAAGCAAGCGCCAAATGATTTAAAATCAACATAAACGTTGAGATGTTTATTAAATGTTCAAAGATGTTCAAAGATCAAGTAAATCTAATGTGAATTTCGCAACAAAACCGATAAAACCTCCCTTTAACAAAATGCAATGTTGTGCGTCCAATGCTCGGCCTTGCCCGACTATACTATCGCTACTGGTTTTTCTACATTTTTCTTTGAATATGTAGTTTTCATTGATTATTGTATAATGACTTTCTATCCAGATTTCAATCTAATGTATGGTAATCAGTATACATTCGCATCAAAGCGAATATAGTTAATTTTCTTGCTTATATTTATTTTTTTTTTCTTTTTTTAGAATAAAAGGAAAAATCGAATTTCGTAAACGACGTAGGATACGACCCTGTCTAAGTGTATGCCAAACAGTAGAACAAAAATGTCCGTATTTGCTGCCTGCAGATCGAGCACCAGCGCTGCCAACACAATATGCCGGAGAGCCAACATTTTTATGTTTAGGTAAGTGAGATATTTGCTTAACCTCTCATTTTAATTTATAAGAGAAATTAATTTTGCAAACATACTATTAGATCAAAATATACCGGAGACGGGGGAACAATTAAAAAAATCCAGTCATGGCCCATCAGATTGTTGTTACACGTACTGTGGGGATGTGCAAAATGGGTTATGTACCTATTGCAATGAATACGCTGAAATTAGAGAAACCGATCTCTTAGCTATTAGCGAGAAGAGAAAAACCCGCAATATAACGCTGCAGCCAACAAAGATAAAAAATGAAAAACCACCCATCCGTCTGGAAACGCGAATACGAGCAAAGTTAGGTCTAAATCAGACCGACGATAATGTACGAATGGCCAGTATAGCTATAACGATAACAAACGAAACTTTATGGCCTACGAATGAGACACAATTAATCGAAAGGCTGCCCTATTATGCATATTGTGATGGTGTCTTCTATTATGATGACGATATTAATGATATGCCCGAGAAGGCAACATCAGGAAATTGTTATGCGTTGCCGACAATGCAAAGCCGCTGTTCTATACCGTATTACGCAGATGATTACGTATCAGCTGCAAAACGTAGCCAAGATTTAAGCAGAAGTCAATGTTGGTTACTATGGTTGAGCATAATATTATGTCTAAGTAGCACTTATAGGTCAGTTAATTATCAAACCATACAAAAGAGAATACTCCATCACGAAAGCTACAAGTATATCGGCAGTGACCTCATACAATTGCATAAGCATCAAGGGATTATTGTTTACGATTACAATAAACGATTGCCTAATAAAAAATTTATGAAGTGGATGTTTGAGGTGATAACGATGACGCGATGCAAGGTCGTTATTAAAATTTATAATAATGGTGTGGAAGGTAGTACTTTAAAAATTTTAAGCCAATTCGCTAGACGATCAAAACTTAAATTAAATATTTATAAACACGGCGACTGCAACGGCAATAATAAGATCAATCTAGGCACACCCCATACATTTAAAAGCAAGTTATTATTATTTTTAAAGGAAAATTTAATATTAATTATAAAAATTGTTATTGCTGTTGATGCTGTTGTTATTATTATTATCTTTATTAATGAATTAACAAAAATGGGGACGTTACGAATGTTAAAAAAAACGAACTTCAGCAACAACAACAATTGCAATAAAAAAATTCATACGTTTCATGTTAAAGATAATATTCAACGACAACAACAAAAACAATCACAAAAACAAAAATTTAACAGTAGTAGTCGTCAAAGGAGAAGACAAAATAAAGACAGTCAAAGTCAAACTCATTGTAGTTATAGTTGTAGCAATGGTAATAATAGTAGATGTATTAGTTGTAGACGATCTAATAAATTAATAATAATAACGATAATAAATATAATAATAATAATAATAATAATAATAATAAATATAATAATAAATATAATAATAATAATAATAATAGGAAAAATTAAGGTTATTTTAAGTCAATGTAATTTTATTAAACATACCAATAACGGCAACAACATCAAGAACAACTTCAAATTTAATACTAAACATAAGTCGAATAATATTAGTAACGATAATAATAAAGACAACAACACCATCAACAACAACAACAACAACAACAATACATGCAAACAAACACAAAGAAACAGTACTAAAATACAATTTCAATTTAATAATAACTCTTGCAGCTGTAAAGATAATGATAATAATACTAATAAAAATTACAATAAAAACTCTAATAACAACTTCAACATAAATAAAAAGCAAAACTTTCTCTGTCGTTACTTTTATTATTATAATTTCAACATTAACGATTGGTGGCACAGGTGGTATTGGCCGTCGTTGCAGATATTGCGTCGAAATGAATCTTTACAGCGAACAACAACGAGGAGTGCCATGAGTTACGTGCAAATACTTCAAAGCAGGAACAAAAATAACAACAACAACAAAAGCACATCATAGTGCTAGTATTTATGACATCACCAAGAACAACAACAACAACAAGAGAGAATGATCAAATGAACAAGAAGGAAAGAAAAATAAATAAAGAAATAAAAATCATTTTTAAAATATACTGGGCATAACGAGGAAAAATAGACATGAGAAAGCAAAAAGAATCAATACTTATTCTTAAGTAAAAAAATATACTTTTTATTTAGTTCTTAGAGGGACATAATCATAAGATCACTTCATTAGTGGGATTATTAAGTGATGTAATTTCATGCCCACCATCAAAAATTAAGTCTATACCGCAAACGTCGTTCTCTCCATTGCTTTGCAAGGAACTTCAAAGGGCATGTATACTATTGATCAGGCTCAGATTCTGAATCGATTTAGCTCCGTCCGTAGTTCTTTCGTCTATCCGTCCAACTATTGTAACCTATTTCTGGGTCAAAAATCTTAGATAAAAAGCGGAAACTCCACATATTGTATAAGTTTACCGATTTAGCTATGTCCGTCCGTCCGTTATTTTAGTCTATTTATGGGAGAAAATTTTCAAATAAAAAGCCAAAGTTCTACATATTATGTATATATAAAAATCGCAGAAGATTGAACTTCTAAGTGAATCCAACCAGCTTAAAAATAACATCGCAATAAGCAGAAAACTGTTGGTATATGTTACTATTTCCTAAAGCTATCATCCAAAAGTTCTGATCGCTACCAATATACTGATACAGTTATCCAAATAATTTGCAGTTTTTGTATAGTTAGATATGGTGGTGGATATCAAATATTCGCAATAAAACGAATATAATTTCCTTACATATATAAAAAAAAAAAATGTTTACTTCTTATTTTGAATTGTACATTTATTTTTTTCCTTTCTTTTATGTATTATACAATACATTATCAAGAAAAAATCCTGAATTTCCTTAATGCAATACGCCAAAATTATTTTTATATATGGAATCCCAAAGGACCCATTTGTTCTGAGTTAATGGATTCGATATTCTCATTTTCTTGCAATTAGTCCAACCAATCAACCAAAATTATCATTTCGGTACCCATTTCCCCAAGAATCAAATTGGTAAGCAAACTATGTGCTTAATTTACTACAGACTGTTGAGAAGTTTATAGGCTTTATATATGTAGTTGACGAGAAAATTGTTTGCTTGTTATTATATATATTGTATCTTTAATTTTTGCTATGCCCTAAAACTAATTAATATTACTATTAATAGTATGAAAAGTAATCATTTAATAACCAAATATACTTACCATCAAAAGATGGCGTAGAAGTAACTTTATTCTTGCCGCCTATCAAGACTTGACAATACTCACCAGAGATGGCCTACATTTTAGATCATGTGACGTAATACGTTACTCATAAGTAAGTTCATAGGATGATTTGCAGATGCGAAATGACTATTGCCAAATCCGGATTCGTCAACAGTATTACACTTTATCTTACGATCTTATTGAGTGGTGTTTTCCATATCTTAGAACACTTTGAATTTAAATTATTTAAATTCGCTTGGTCTTTTGCTTTTGGTACTCTGAAAGCTATTACAAATAAGGGGGACACTTAAACCTACTACCTACTCTTTAATTGTGAAAATTATCGTTCGTTCTCCATAAATGAGAGAGAAACTGATACAGATTTGAAAGAAAAGACTCGTCGTTAGAAAATATTAATAGAAGTAATAAAGCAACGAGAATTGCAAGAATCGAAGCAGAAAGCTGGGTAATTTTAAAAGAGTACGTGATTCATTTATAAGAGAAACTACAACTTACAACTTTCAGTAGAGTTGACACCTTAAATTATACCAAATGCATCTATCTATGTTCAAAAATTCTAAATATCTATGTTCAAAAAAGCTCCAAAAAATATGATCATATCCTTACAATCAACAAAAACTTCGCAATTTTTACAAATTAGCGTCAAGTAGACAAGTTCAAAAATTAATTTCTAAGTATGTGAAAAATTTCTTCTCTTTATCTCAATGGCTAGCTTACAGTAGCTTTATTATTCTCTTTGCGAGGTCTACAAAAAATGAATGAACTAGCCCTATCCATCTATTAGTTCGCCTATATGTTGTTTATTATTTTAATTCCATGCTGAAACGAAATTTCAAAACGCTTCGTTAACATCCTTGGACGTGATAGACAAAACAATTGAGCTTATAAACTGGTAAATAGTCAATGCGACCCTAACTGCACGCAAGGACTTCAATCAATCTTGATGCCTCTCGACATTAACGAGAAAAACGCTACATTCAACTTGGACCGTAATTGTTTGCCAAAATAAACCGAAGCTTCACTCCTTCGATATATGGATCATATATCGCATCGTACATATCATATATCATACACATTTGAGATCCTATTTACACATTTGCAACACTGTACAGGAAGGTATACAAAATAAAATACTTCCTTTATATACTTTATTTCGTATATACATATATTGGATATAGTAGACCGCTTTACAGCTGAGTTTCGAATTTGCAACGAAGTTTTTTTTGTTAAGAAATTTTTTGAGAAGTAACTACAAGTTATAAAACAAACAATTTATAGTTTTCAAGAAACAATTTAAGAAAATAAGAAAAACAATTAAAGTGTGAATAGTTAATTTTTATGCACTACACCACTTGCGGTGCAAGTTTGTACGGATCGTTGTAGCACCCAAAAGGACCTGAGATAGACCCATTTTCAATAAACATAAGGCTTATTTGTCAAAAAGACCTAATTTTTAATATTTTACGATGAAAATTTGTCCTTAGTAAATGAACTATGGAGAATTTGAATCACATAAGTTTAGTCTCTTAGTCCGCTCTATATATAGAAGCTCTCATGAATGCAAGCTCTTCTATGGCGCAAAGCTTAACTTGTGGCATGGTGTAACGGAAGCGACTGGAAAATAATAAAAGCTTCGCAACCAAATTAGGTTCTGAATCTGTAGACCACATTGACAACGTTCAACGTTCACCTCCAACAGGCCTTTCATGATAATTATGCATTTACATAAAAATAATCTACAATTTTTGGCGTATTATTGACTAGATGAAGTGGTGTGAGATATTTAATGGCTGGCTTCGCCCGGCTGTAGCGTTCTTATTTCTTACAATTCGATTCAGGAATACTAATAAGATCAATTTGAGCGACGACTTTTTGATCCTCCTAGCTAGAGGGTTTTAAAATCATAATCATGATGAATAAGTGGTATACCGGTGTACAGGCGTATCAATAGACTATTATGGCTATGTCGATTCCACTACTTACTTATTATTTATATGTTGTCGTTCGATGATTTACGAAGATTTGAAAACATTTTTAAGATTTCCTTTGCAATGGATATAAATAGGACATGAAAAAAAAAACACATGGCTTTGTTTCAGTATTGTATATAAAAGCAAATTCTTCCTATAAACTTAAACATGATTAAAAAGAAAAATTTTTTTTTTCAAAATTCGAAAACAATTTCAAAAAACATAATTTTGTCCCAAAACAAATTAATAATAAACTTTTATAAATACCAATTAAAAATAAAAATATAAAATAAAACAAAAACTGCCAAAAAGAAAAAATCTTTAAAGTAAAACAATTTATGATAATATAAGTAATGATAGGTATAAAAAAAAAAAAAGAGATACATTACACAAATACTTAAAAAACTAAAAAGAAAGAATTGTATAAACAGTACCTATAATTTGATAGATTAGCCCAATAAAAAAAAAGATTAAAAAAAACTATGTAGGTAAATAAAAAATAAAATAAATAAATAAATAAAAATTTGTTATTCATTTAAATAAATAAAAATAAATAAGTTATGACGAATAAACCCGAACACGAATTATTACATAATTCGAGTGCATCATCCACCTTTCTTTACTAATATGTTAAAAACAAGAAAGATATGAATAATGAGTATAATAACAACAATTGGAAACAGTGAACTAATTTCTTTTAAACGAAAAAACTTTAAATTATGTTTGGTTATCGAAAAAACAGAAAAGGAAACTAATAAAATAAAACAGTTTAAGAAAACCTAGTAAAATGAATTTAAAATTAAAAATTTAGTTTATTACAAAATAAAACAAAATACGAAAATTAAAAAAAAACAAATATGTATTATTAACAATAAAAACTAATACATATTAATAAATAATAAAGAATCCAAAGATATAAAGCGCACAGTAATGTAAATTAGTTAAGATCCTTGTAATTGTAATAAGACGAAAAACACAAGTAAATAATAACAAAAAAAATAAAAAAAACTAAAAGCCCAAATAAATAAATTAAAAAATAAAATTCTATAGATAACCTACCACCTTAATTATCATCAAATTTTTAACTTTCATTTCAATTTAATAGCAATCGAGTCCATATATATTTTATTAGAATAAAAAAGTGAACAGAGATAAGAAAACAAAGAAAACCAAACCACCAACAAATCATTAAAGGAACATGTATGTATACATATATACATATATATGTATTTATTAGCAAATCTACAAAAATTATTGATTTCACCACTCAGCTATGCCTTACACGACATGGTTTTTAAATTGTCTTTTAGTTATTTCTTAAAGCAATGTTTGCTGAAGTTGTACCAAATTTTTTTTTTTATGGAGATTCAAAATATTAACCTTTGCCCAAAAAAAATTAAGTTTCACATCAGCAGAGATTTATAATATGTTTCGCTTCGTAGCCTTCACAACAAGAGCTTTCTTGGGTTTCATTCTTTATGGATGTGCTTCGCCATAAGACATGTTGACTTGAGACAAGATTATCTATGTGAAATTTAAGATTCCATATATGTTTAAGAAAGTTAAAAATACATTTACTGCGGAGATCGGTATTTGTTCACTTCACTATACAAATCTGATCCCCATAAAAAGATATCTTTTGTTTTTATTTTTCTTTGCTTATTAGAATTTCTTTCAAGCAAACGAAAGA